TTGTGTTCTCTTTCTTCTTTTTTTCAGCATGGAATAAACCTATTACTTGTTCCTTTGCAGCCTACGCATGCTGACGCAGCTCCCCACCTGAACTACTTTTTAATTGGTGCATGTCTTAATCCTATCACACCAATTTAATACTTTCAGAGAGTACTGAGAAATTGTGTGTTAAAAGCAAATACAAAACTGAGAAACACAAATCTAAGCAAGCATTCTGGAGCTTTAGGACAACCAGTCAACACTCCAGAACAAAGACACCTTTCAAAGTGTTGTCTCTCCAGAGAGACTCCAGGCAGAGGCAGTTAAAGCCACAAGTAGCTCTTTGTTAATGCACCAGGAGGTACATTGTAATCCTATTCTCTGCACACTCAGTGCTGCAGTGTGGTGTGAGCAGAGACAGGCTTTCAGATTGCAATCAACCTCCCCCTGCATCAGTCAGACCTATTTAGCACTGCCTGCTTGTGTAGCTCAGCCCAATGTTTCAAAAGACAGAAGCCATTTCTACTGCAAACCTAGGATGCCACATCTCTCTTACAAGTGACAATTGCAACAATACCGTTACAAATTTCCCTCAAGTTGTTGTGAAATCTGCTTCATAAAAGCTGGGGGGTAATAGTACGATTTGTGACCCTTTTTTAATGGCACGCAAAACAACAACAAAAAAATGCATAAAGAGAAATCGGGATTGGGGAACAGCTCCAGGAATCTGCACAAGAATCAGAATCATTTGCCATCCAAGTGCAGACGCCAACCATCGATAAACACAAATATATTGTGCGAAGGACACAAAAATGTTTAAGTGAAAATTGATTAAAACTGCAACTAAATAATATATTTAGGGAACACAGATTTTTTATTTTATGATAAAATCCCCAAAAAGGCCACATCTTATACAATAGCTGCTGTCGATTTGTGAAATTTGTGAAAATCTTTTCAACTGCACTAGTTCTACTGGGAACTAATGTGAATGTCTTTTAGCAGACTCAGTGAGGGTTCAGCTGGAGAATCCTGTCCTTTTGTGCTGTCTAAAGGGTATTTCCCACTAGTGACAGCTGAAAGGTTAAAGAAGCAGAGACAGAATGAAACCCACACAGCCTTCAGTCCCTTAACGTCCTGAAGCTGAACAAAACCAAACCTCTTTATTGCAGAGATGGGACACACAAAATAAGAACACTCAGGGAACAGCCTTTTATTTGTAACTTTATTGTACTCGATCCTCAACTGAGGTATTAAAAACTCACTTGGCTCCCTCAGTCCATTGACACTTATAGCAGTATCAGTCAAAGTCAGATTCTACACAAGCTTGAGGCCTGTAGGCATCCTTTTACATGGGCACTCAACTCAACATACCACACACATGAGATTTGCTTCTGTAGTGTACTGCTACTTACTTGCAGTAACCATGACTGCTGTATAAGCCCCTGCTATAACCTGTGTTGAGACACAACCCACAGGTCAACTCAACAGCAAATTGCCTACACGGACAGTACCATATCACAGAGTCAGTTCTGTAATTATGGGGAACAGCATACTGTCCACCATCCAGCCTTCAGGCGAGGAAAAGGAAATGCTTCTGCTCGCAGTTTTGAAGTGACTATTTTCTGCAATAATGCCAGTTCCCCCCAAAAAAGGGACAGTAACTCTGCAGAATGTTGTCTGGAGTCAAACTATCTCAAAAGACATTTTTTAAAATGAGAAATATCCTTCCCTTGCATCCAGTGCATGGGATTTTTCAAGATGCACTGCTCAAAATGAAGAGATAAATATAGGGATATATATATATATAAATATTGTTGAGCAGTATGAGTAACTCATTACATCCCTGAAAAGTTGTCCAGCAAAATTACATCAATATGCATGAAGAACATTCAGAATTCTAAGTTATTTCAGGTATACCCAATTATGTAGCATTTTAAAAACAGGCTGACAGAATTTTGTGTAGAATCTTTAGCAATGCAACATTTCTAACATTCCCATGTCTGATTTCTCCACAGCCCAAAACCCCACGTCCTACTGTGTTCCACTGTCACGGGACAGAGAATTCCAAATGTTAATGACGGCACAACAGTCCGAAGGTTACAAACACCCAGAAATCTAATCCAAGAACACATTCTAGTGACGTTTTAACATTATGTACATTTTCAACCTCAGACCATTACTTAGGTGCAAGAATAGGTCTGGATTTGAGTCTGATATAAAGGAGAATTCTATGTAACCATAACATGTACTGGATTCTCACATGAAAGTCCATTGAGCTTCAGTCTGAAAACAGTGTGAAGGGCACATGGTGTGTATAAAACTAAGAGAAATACAGCAAAGTCTTGTTCAGCACCACTTTGATAAAATGAGACTTCATTTAGATTCCCCCATCTAATTTCTCCTTTAAATTCTTTTTCTCTAAGACATTTTAACGGCAAATGCCTATATCAGGAATCGGAGGAAATTCACTAAGTCAATTACTATAAAAAGACCCTGGCTCACCATTAACCTTATAAACCAAACACACAGATAACAGTTTTTTAGATCTTTTTTTTTCCCCAGGAAAAAATGCACTAGTCAAATTCTGAACCAGATTTTAAATTTCACCCATTCATCCTCAATCTGGGATTTAGGGTGAGAAAGTTCTTACTTTTTTAGGATTATAAAATTGGGGTAAATCAAGCACAAAACTGGGCATTTGAATGCTAGTTCCACCATGCTTACAAAAAGAGTTGTCAGGTTGATTTTCAGCAATACTGTTTGCACCCACATTCTTAAGCATTGAAACTTGAGCACATATGCCCTTGATGCTAGGAGTCGCAAATCCTTTTGCTTTAGAGCCAGTGTGTCTGCAGGTTTGTACTCTTAAGGGCTTAACTGTACCAATTTAACACCTTCTCTCAGGTCTTTAGGTGCAACGGCACTAAAGAGTGTTAGGAAAGCCTGCAGACACACCTCCACAACCAGGATTAGAGACCTCCACCCCAGCATAAGATGTGATCAAGACAAGCAAAAAAAACCCACCTTACTTTAATCACATCTGGTTAAAGGTGTTATCGTTGAACTTTGGTTCTCTCATGATCTACTTTTTGTTTAATAGCACCACATAGTGTTTGGATATTGCAACTGTGCCATTTTACATACTCGGGTTTAAAAAAAAAACAGCCTAAAGCCTCAATTGACTGATCCACAGCTGCCTCTTGCACTGACTGACTCTTTACTTGAGCCGACCGACTGCACGGCGCGGATGCAAAGCAGCCCCCTGGTTTCGCAGGCAGGTCTGCCAGGATTATTGCTTGACAACAGGTACTAGTAGGATCCATGTCGAAATGGGAAAATGGGAAAGGGTGGGGATGCCGATGTCACTTCCCAGCCAAAGCACCACATGAGCACTGCAGTGTGGTCTCCTCTGTGCTTTTTGGGGGCGTGTTTCGGTTAGGGGTGATGCCTCATCTACTTGCCTTCCAGCACCCACAATTTAGAGCTTAGCGATTCTGAATGTCACTTGAGTGTTGTGGCCGAGTTCCCTCCTTCCTTGCTGCCAAGTACGTAGTGTTCACGTTTGCACTCCGCTGTAGTGCTCCCTACCAGACTAGGCCTTTTGCCAAATCACATCCCAGTCTTATACAAAAAAAAACAACCAAAGAAATAATATTTTAAAAAATGATATCCTAAGACAGTGTCCTCTATTCAGACTGGCTAGCCTCCTCTTTGGAGAGGGTCTTCGCCTGGGGAGGAGGATCTTCGATTTGATTGGTGGCCTCGGCGCCCGGGAACTCAGGATTGGTCAGGGGCTCCTCAGTGGGTGGTTCTGGGGACTGGGTGCAGCTGATGGGCGCCATGACAAGAGGAGGCTGGGGGACATCTTTCTGCAAAAAGCACATGGGGGGGGAGAGAAAAAGGAAATGAAGCAGAAGCACGAGAAGGCAACTTGACTCCACTTCTCGACGAGCAGCAATAAAACACATACACATGTACACACAGCAGACTCTCATATATGTGTCTAACACAGACATGGAAAAGTGGCCTACGATTTGAAAAGAATCTCTCTAAGGATGGGACAAACATCAGCAACAAAAAGAATATAACATCCCAACACCCCAAGATGCACACATTCTAATTTGGAAATTTCTTGCACTTTTACTAAGATGACCAAAAGAGGAAACCAACATCCCTTTTGCTGACCTGTACTAGCTAAACGTACACAGAAAGGATAATTCCCATGTGCATTGTTCCTTAGATATGCAAAGGATGCACCATTCTCTTAGAATGTACCTGGAATAGCAGAAGGTAAGACAGAAGGACAATATGTTACAATTAGGTTCATTTAATTTGACTCCTTGGGATGTAATTGAGGTTTAACCTCAATATCTCTTCCCTAGTGTGTACAAACATGGTACATCAGCACAGAACAAGGTACAGCATTTCCCCTAAGACCTAAAATGCCCTTTGACTGCCACAGAAAACATACAGAGAGAAAAGCAAAGGTGACCAAGATTGCAAAGGTTTTCATGTCTCTGTGTGTGATTGGTTTACTCAACTTTAATTTTAGTTACTGGCAATAACATTAGCAATTTCCGCAGGCACTCATATCAAACTGGTATTCACCACAAAGCCACTGCCTGTCCAGAACATGTGCAACTCCCTGCGCCACAGCGCCACTGCCAGGCTAGTGAGGAGAGTGCAAGGCACCAGGTATAACAGGGCAGGCTGTCCCATCTGCATCAAAGCCAAGGCAACAAACGTGATGAGCAGGCCGACTCCATAGGCTGTAAAGAAAAAGGAGCAGACCTGTCAAGGCAGGGGACTCCCAGCATAGAGGATCAGCTGTTTTAAAAAAACACAGTTAGTTATAAAGAGCTTTGAACATGCAAAACAATAATCAATAAAGACCTGGAGGGTGTGTATTGTAAATGCTGCACGGGCTTGCTAACAGACCGGTTTCAGCTCAGAACAGTAGAAAAGAATAAATAAGTTTTAATGTCTGTTCAAATATACAACATTTCTGGTTCTGCTAGTTCTTAGAAAGGAGGTGACGAATTGTTTCTATGTGCAAGCTTACCTATAGTGCAAGCCACAAAATAGATCCTGGAGGACTGCATCTGGATGTCAAACCTGTGGCAATAGGCCACCAGCAGTCCTTTAGGAGAAACACAGCACATGCAGGGTGAGTACAGCAGGTCTCCTCCGTTTACCCTCTTGAAACAATTAAACTATAAGACACAACACTCTTCAGAACCAAAGGAAATATTACAGTAGATCAAATTTTCCAAATCCGGGGCCCAGAGACCCAACACACCTACTGGTTTTTGTGCCACCTGAATGCTCAATTAAATAACTGAACCCTTAATAGATTTAATAAAAAGCGTATTCTGAACTCCTTAATTGGGTTCAGGTCTTTAGTATGCAGGAGGGTGCCTTTTAAATACTTTGTTTCACAACTTGGGGGGGTGTGGTGGCTCTGTGGCTCAGGATCTGCGCCTGTGGCTGGAAGGTTGCTGGTTCATATCCCGCGGCCGTGCAGAGGAATCCTACTCTGTTGGG